CATTTCGCACACTATGACTACGGGCAGTGTATTCATGGCCAGCTTTAAAGCGTAATGCATTGTGAGTGAATATGGTTTTACGCCGCTCTTAGCAATATACCAGCAATATCACGGCGGGGGACACCAGAAATGGGCTTCCCCGGTCTTCAGGGTGACGATCGAACATTTCAACCACTAGGCTACCCGACCGCCAACATAATGCATGAAGGAAGCAATACTTCGCAATCAAGTAATCAAACGTAAGAAGAAACCATATCTTAAGAATCATAATGTACAGCACCTACCTTCATGTTTTCTGCTTATACAGCGTCCTGAGTGTAATATAAGCAACAGAGAAAGAATCACCATGCGTTGTTTGTGATTTCAAATGTTTCCCTGTACAGAATGCGGAATAGATTTATCACAGAAACAGAAATCATCAACACGGAAGAAATATGGGTTAACCTTTGCTATATTAATTGTCTGTGTTAACCTAATATTTATACATGATACAACCATGTTACTGCTTCTAAAGCATGTATGTATATATACACATTTTAAACATGGCATTAAAAAGTAGATATTTGCTTTCAAGTAATTACAAAAACGCTGACGTATATTGTCACGATGACACGGATGGGCATGTGACCATATATTTCAACTGTTGCAATCATCTGTTATCAATTGTAACATACCACATGTATTCTATGAAAGAGAAAATGTCAAGCATGCATATATACACATTTTAAGCATGCTTTTTAGAAACTGTACAAAATTTACCTCAAATTGTCACTGATGACATGAGTGGGCGTGGTCTACTTACAAATGTAATGATACTCAGAGTCGTGAACTGTTTGCGATCATATTAATTTTACCCCGGGAGCGTTACTGTATTCCACACTGAAAGAAACAAATGCTTTTGTGATAGCATCAAAGTATAATTTTGTCTTAATTTATAAGCAATATTTTTCAAAAACAAAGTGCAAGCTCAAAGGAAACTTTGATTCCTAATTCTGTCAGTAAGTTTCAATCTTTATTGCTGTGCTTGCTGTAAATTACTCTGAAAAAGACCATTTTCATTCATACTAAATACCATCAAACATGCCTCCACTTGCCAAGCCTACTTGTTTTACTACAATAATAACTGCTAGGCTGAACAAAAGAAGCCATGAATATAATTTAAGTTATTTCTCTACATAATGTTTTAACAGAGATTTCTTATCTTTATGGAAAGGGGTTTGTCGCATTTATTAACGTGATTACAAATATATGTCACTCTCCAACTATCGGAGGAAATAAAGAAAATTCATTCATTCATTTATTCCAGCTGGAATATTGCTGACCTCAGCGTTAAGAACACTCAGTCACTCACTCATACACCTTCGGTTTGTCACTTGTACTAAGCACTCATCCCCAAACAGGAATGCCATCACAGACTTGACGTATTATTTGTCCCCACCCACAGCTCTTTATTTCTGTTAATGATGGAATATGTAATGTTTCAACATTTCAGCATGTATCTTAATCATAATTGATCTAAACCATGTGCACTCCACATAAACTGTGTCCAGAAGAGTGATACTGAAGGTACCTTCATGGATACGAGGGTGGCCGAATTCGTGAGTCCGAGTTGTAGTTTGTGTCACCAACGACAATTTGTTTCAATCTTTTTCGTTTCTCTTTTTACACTTTGTCGCGTATTTGAAAAATGTTGTATTGTTGCTAGTCGATTTTTTTACAAAGTATGACAAGAGTGAATGTGTGTCATCGTACACAACGTTTGGGGTGGATTGTTTTTGTGCTATTATTAACTGTTTTGCCTGGACAAGATTAGAGCATTTACAGTATAATGCTGGAATATCCCCTAGTAAATAATTGATTTACTCGTTTCAGCATGTGTTGCTCCTGGCATACACGGTGTGGTATGTGTGTAACTCTGCCCCCATGGTGGGAAGAGTGTGTAATCACTTGACGGGTCAGTACCCGGATGGCTCTCAGTCAGGATAGGAAGGAGACAAGGTGATGAAGGCATGTTTAAATTAGAAGACATATTACGATGTGTATCAAACTAGAGCCGCCATAGTGAAGTATTACCTAAATGTCCCTCTAACAAACATTGACTATTTCGAGTCATATGACCGAACCTCCACTCCTGAGTAGCTTGCGTGTTTGACCTGCTTAAACTAATTCTTTTGAGTTATTTAAAAGAAAATCCAAATTAAAAAAGTAAAATCTAATTTAACAGTTCAGATTATACGGAATATAATATATGTTTCAGCGAAGTACATGCAATTTTGGGGTGACGTTCAAGTTTAAGTCACGTGATCCAGATATAAACACGAAAGTGCGCTATGTCGCTATAGATTTGTAATTCATTATTCTCTGTTTAAACAAAATCCTACTTATTTGATAAACATACGAACTCATACAAAATAACGATTACACATGTCCTATGGCAAAAATGAATGATGTAGAGACCTTGCCCTAATATTAGGACGACGAGCGGACATATTTCATCCATAGAAAATGTAAGCATTTGTCACAACACAGCTCGGTGATGACGTCATTTGAGCATGACGTCAGTGAATTGACATTTCAGTTTTCCATATCGGCACACACCTATAAGGTGAAATATTCAAAATATGCGGAAAAACTTATTTACTAAATTTATACTGTTAATGTTTTAACAAAAAATACTTTTAATATAGTTAAGTACTATTTATTGTGAATCAATGTTACATAGATTTCTTAACACTCCTTGTTCAGCCAGAAAACAGACTCTAAACTAATGTTACCGACTCACAACAACTGTCGATAACTTGGCCAAACAAGTTCGACTAGCAGGTGTCTGTATATTTAGAGTGTTTCTCATCTCCATGCTCACCCTCGGACAGAGAATAAGAGAAACTTCCTTTGGCTGAGGAAACAGGTGATGAGTTGTCTGTTATATGTCCAGACATATGCAAAATATGTGACTCTTGATTTCCAAAGTACGCGTACATGCGATCATAAACAAACGACTTAGGCCTTGCACTACTCGTATGTTCGTAGAAAGACGGAAGAAAGCTATACGCAGAATTACTTCCCTCTTTCGAAAATCCTTCAAATAAGATACACCAGGGATATTTTTTATGAAACGGGAAATTCGTTTATTTGCTCAGTAGCGGGATATTATACACTACGGTTGGTAAGGTCAGATTATTTAAACATTTTTAAACAGGGAAGTGCTTTAGGACCGTAGAAACAGACACACACAACACAGTCGTCCTCAGGCTTAAAGCTACTCCTATCACCCCAGTAGAGTGAGTGAGTGAGTTTGATTTTACGCCGCTTTTAGCAATATTCCAGCAATATCACGTCGGGGGACACCACAAATGGGCTCCACACATAGTACCCATGTCGGGTGTAACATATAGTTACGTGACGTCATAACATTTCATGTCCGTTATTCAGTTATCGCCTGATGAGACTCGTACGTGATACATGTTGAAAGCGCTAGCCAATTAAAACTGTGTTCATTCTTGCTCCACTTATTTAATTATTACTATATTGTGGCTGAGAGTTAGAATATACCGTGTACGTATCCGCCTGCTTCTTAACTATTTCAAATATTTCAGGATACTTGTGCATTTACGTAAAGAAAGAGAATCACGCGACCCCACAAATACCTTACATTAATTTATGTTCGCTATTTTGTCATTTCGAGGAACTTACTGTGAACCCTGCCATCGTGGTGTAGTGTGCTGATCATACATAGGGGGTTCAGGGCACGAAAGGAAAAGGTGGGCCGGTATTTACTCGTATTGTGCCAACGATAAATTCTCGTGGGTGTTTCGTTTTATTTTGTCCGAGTAATCTGTCCACACAGAGCGTAAGAGCTACATCAGTATAACTTGGTATTGTTACTGGTCAGATCTATACCAATGCTATCTGGTACCATCAAAGCGATGCGGGGCGGTCGGGTAGCCTATCTAGTGGTTAAAGCGTTCGCTCGTCACGCCGAAGACCCGGGTTCGATTCCCGACATGGGTACAATGTGTGAAGCCAATTTCTGGTGCCCCCCGCCGTGATATTGCTAAAAGCGGCGTAAAACCATAGTCACTCACTCACACCATCAAAGCGATAATTTTCTTAGACCTGTGCCACTTTCCAAATATAACTTGATATGATATAACCGTCGGCATAAAGCCCGGTCACTGCCCATCACGTATATAATACCTTCATCAGGGAGGATTTATGTATTATGAACCGGTCGTATTTATCTTCTGCCAATGTGGTGCAAAACCAAACACTAGCCTTTTGAGACAAGGCAGGAATGATATCGGGGTGAGACTTTGAATATTCTCACAATATATTTATTTTATGATATGAAATATTTCCTGGGAGAGACATTATTACATCATCCACGTGGACTTTTAATGGTTAACTTATGATGTCAAATACGTGATGTCTCATGTACTTGTGCATAGGGGAAAATGTACAAATCAATAAAACTATGACAGTCCCCAACCATCAAGGACGTTCAGAGGCCAAAAGTACAAGTATTTAACCTTTTCTAAGATATGTAACTGTCCAAATTAAAAAGGGAGTCGCTGTTCATTGCAATATCGCGCCACATTTACACTTTGCTATAGAGACATATACTGTTGTTGTCATGGTGTACATGTGTTTGAATTAAAGTGTCAAAATAATATTGTCATGATTTCATGGACATCATAACTACAATTTGTTAGTGTGCATCTAATTTAGCAAACGGATTAAAACGAATTTATAGGGCAATTCCTGACGGGTACCAAAGCTCTGTTGATTACGCCACAACGCACTTAATATGTATACATGTAAAACATCCTATGTTCAACGAATGGATTTTTAATCTATAATTCTCGGGTGCACCTTTTCATATTTCCGTATGTCAGCTTTCACCTTGATGGACTCAAAATAGCTGCTACAATGAGTAAACCCCGTATAGAACAATGGGATGACGTTCCAGATGGTTTATACATACTGAACAAGGATGTACATCAACCAAAGCACACTTACATACTTCAGGGCAAAATGGTTGGGAGATATTCTCGTTTGTGTGGATATATCTGTCTTCTTATCCAGGTTTACGCGAAAGGTAAGTTATATATCAACTGTACGGGATATCAGACTACAAATACCGAATATGTTTGTTTGCAGTTATACGACTAACCCTGTGGACATTCTGGGTCAGTAGAGATCCCTAGTACCTCATGTTTGCTGTAAGAGCCGATGACTTGGACAGCTATCAGCTTCTGTGATTTGGGTTAATACGTATTGTCACGTGTCGATTCCCATATTGAAACAAAAAGTTAACCCAGAATACTGTGTGTAAAAGAACTTAGTGTCAACCCTCAAACAACCAACAAAAGGTATACAATTAACAAATTATTGTATTACAAAACAACGTTTACAAATCGACACAAATTACAGCACAGCAATTACAATGGCAGTACACAACAGAGTTGTTGTACAATATTCAATAGCAATAAATAATATAATGGTAGTGGTCAGTATCAAATACAAAGATACACTGGTGATAGCAACAACCAGTGACAATAGCATATTCACCCAGCGGCGACGGTGGTCAAGCTTGCGAGTTGGTTTAGGCAGGCAATCAGGGATGATGAGTGATCCTCACACGAAAACTGGTCTTGCTGTGATGTATTGTGTGAGAGATGCGTAACATGCTCTTATACCAATAGATAAACAGTCCAGCTAGCTTCTGGAAACTTCTAAACAGTGCCCTCACCAGTGGTACTAGAGCATTCCACATGTTTCTTCAACACACTATCACCGTCGGCGGTATACCGAACCGGAAGTTTACACACCACACTAGCATCTAAATATAGTAACTTTCTAACGACTACTTACGTTAAATAGTACTACATTCCTGACGACTTAACACTGTCCAAACAATGCAATTAGCGTCTACCAAATCTCAACAGAAAAAATGTAACACAACTACAATTATTGTTCAACAATAAAATACACTGCCATAAAACAGTATCAAGGTGCCCCGAAGTCCTCCATTTTAGCTCATGAGGTGAAATAGGGTTTAACGTCGCGTCCAAGATCACTTGCACTTATATAGCGACTTGCATGCACGTGTGTGTGTGTGTGTGTGTGTGTGTGTGTGTGTGTGTGTGTGTGTGTGTGTGTGTGTGTGTGTGTGTGTGTGTGTGTGTGTGTGTGTGTGTGTGTGTAGCCCATTAAAGCCGAGCGTACCATCTTTTAACGTCTTTAGGTATGACACGGCCGGGGATCGAACTCCTGACCTTCAGCTTTCCGGGCGGACGCTCTACCACAAGACCTTGGAGGCGGTTCGCTATTAAATGAATACTTTGACATGCATTTCAGTTTTCTCAACAGGATGAATTAAGAAGCTAACACTTTTATACTCGCGATAAGTGGCCTGATGTCATGGCCTGCAAGATTACACAGTAAACCACATACAGACCATTACTTCCGCATACAGTTTGTACAATATGACCGCCACAGAAATTAGCAAAATAAAATTAAAGTTTACCTGATTATAATATGCTCTCTTGAACATTGTTAAAGACTTTGTTTAACAGATGTATTGGTAGGTGATAACAGGGCCTCGCAATTTTATAGCACATGGGAGTTCCCGACTATTTTTGAGAATTGTTTCAAACTAGCGCGAGGTCACGGGGAATCCCCTTTGAGGAAGCAGTTCCGGGTCGCTAGTCTTTGCTGCGGTTGTCGAAGTGTAACATTCATTTGTCATTCCACGTCATTTACCCTCACTAGCCATGCTCTTGACATACATGGCATCCATTCAGTGTTATATATATAGCACGGGTCTCCCCACAAATATTGAAACGATCGCGTATTATCTGTACCCGGCTGGTGGTTAAACCACGGTCGCGCTCTTAAGATTAGTTTTTGTTGTTACTAATACAGACCTCAAAATAGATACGTTTAATTATGGGCAACACTGCTAACTTTACGCTTTCACATTTTTTCTCGGCCATTGTATTGTACATCATACTGGCTACATAATGATGTAAAACAAATCCATTACTATTTTTCATGATACTTTAAATTTGCCATAAATTCAACCCTGACCAAAGTAAGCAGTAGCATTATGTGTCGAAATTAAATTAAATACGATGTTCTAAATTCTCACGAATAACCAGGGAAAGCACAATAAGTTGAGTGAATGTTTGACAGAAACTTGAGAAACTATTTCACGGAGCCGCATGAGACATGAGGTGAATGCCAAATCCCACATGCTCTCGTACGCAATAATATGCAGTAAACGACGTGCATACACGAGAGGATTACAGACAACACAGTACATTATCATATAGCAGACTTCATGCAGGCCTCTTTATGTTTTTCGGTCGTATTTAACAATGGTTACAGTGGTGTCCCGTTGGTTGTAAAATTGAACACTTCCGGAAGGTTATTGCACTTATATTGCGACGTGCATGCACGTGTGTGTGTGTGTGTGTGTGTGTGTGTGGCTGATTGTACTAGTCCGGACCGATGCCGATTTAGAGTGCTGGCACACTGAGATACCATGCCGCAGTTTAACATGAATACCCCCTGCAGACACAGTATACTGACTCCGAGCCGACCAGTCCTTGTTTTAGCCCCTTAATGCCGGGCGCCAGACAGAGTAACAACAAGTACCATCTTTTAACGTCTTTTGGTATGCCGCGGCCGGGGATCGAACCCCGGACCTTCCGCTCTCCGGGCGGACGCTCAACCACTAGACCACGGAGGCGGTTCAAGTGATGTGATGAAAGCTAGGCAGATGGCGAGACAAGGCAATTTCTTTCCAGGTTACATTGCTTTGGCCACTGTTTGACTACAACAGCAGGAAAACGCCTATGCTCACAGGTTCAATGTTCTATTTTGCTGGAAATTGCTGTGTGTCGTGTAAAGCAAAATTAACACTCTGACGATAGATCTAAAATGTATTGAACATCATTTCAGCTAAAAGGAATATTATGGTTACAGTACATGATAACGTTACCAGTGGCCCTTAATTAATATCTACTGATTGAGTTTGGTTTAACACCGCTTTTAACAGTATTGCAGTTATATCCCGGCGTGTCAGCTTAATCTGGAAGGAAAGCCCGAAGTGATGCAAATCTCAGACGTTTACCAGTTCGGTTAAACCCACGAGCACGGGTATGGTGCTGACAAACCTCGAAACATAATCGGGTCAAACCCGGATTGGAACCCACAATCATAGGTTTCTGGCGTGCCCAAGGGACTCAACTCTGCACAGAGAATCGCGGTACTAGACGACTGGGCCACCCGAACCCCCTTAATGAATTTCTAAATACCATAGAAGTATATACAGTGAGATGATAGGGAACAATATTAATTTTTATCCATTATTCATATTTATGCAGTCAATTTTCAATACGGGTGGCGCCGTGACCCTGTCCTGGTTAAGGGCCAGTGCAGGACCTATTCAAAACTATCGTTAAAATAACTGGTCCAGGACGAGGATGTTCAATTGTATGTCTTTTTACATTATTGATAAGAACTGGCTGTATAACCAGCACATATTCCAGTATAACCAGTATAACCTCTCCTTGAACTCGACGTGAAATCCCATTTCATCTCACCTCACCATTGTAACCGAGGCCATAAATAATGGAGTCTGGACAGACAAACCAGTGGTTGATATTATGAACAGCATACCACGCCGTTGGGGCATTGTGACACGCAATCAAGCCGGTCACAGAGCCTGACCATCTGCCCCACTTGCCTCTTAAACAAGCGATAGTGTTGGGTGCCCTATTCTCACCGTGGTGTAAAATAAAACAATTTGGAAATATGTAAACGGTATAATAATCCTTTGATATATGAAATTGTCAAACTATGAATTCAGTGATTATATCACAATACCTTTAGTAGATAGTTATGAAATATTTCGTTACAGTGGACAACCCAACATCAACTATACTATTCAGTAAACCAGGGGGAATTGACAAGTTATCTGTCAGTCCACCACAGTCATCAGTAGCCCCTGTAGCTGCAGGCACGGTTCCTGTATCTATTGACTACGACCCCGTGGAGCAGAAACTGTATCGGACAAATGCTGCTCCTGAGAAGATCAAAGCAAGAAACATGAAAAAGAACACCGAGGAACTCATCATGTCCTTCAATGCAAGTATGTGATCGTAAAACAGTGTAAGCGTGAGGTACAAACGAAATCTTATTGTTTATACTGATATACCGCCCTATAAAACTTAAACACTTTCCATATTCATAAGATATCCCTGCCTGAGTCGATTGTCCGTTTCCGACCTCATCATGAGCATGTGTTTATGAATCACCATTAAACAAAGGAAGGTCAATTGCTTACATATAATAAAAAAGACGGAAACAAATGGTAAAGTCAAAATAGGGAATTGCATCGGACATCATTCTTGTCACTGATGCGTCACATTTCCGAAATGTCCTCTTTTAACCATAAAACATTTTGAAAGCTTTACTGAGGCCTTGAACGTTGTAAACTTGACCAAACAACTTCTTACTGATGACGTTATATTTTATCATTCACTGCATCAACGCATATACATGTATATGGTCTTTTGCAGGACATCCACTATGTCTAATCGATTAAATTATATTTGTGTGTAAAATCTGAGGTAGAATTATATCTAGTATTCACGATCGCCTCAAGATATTAAATAGCCGGTCTCTCATGCCCCGGGACCCAATGAAAAAGTCATGAATACCAAGTTAAGGTAATTACGACCACACGGTCATCTATTATATCAGATTGTGCTTTGACCACCAACACAAGCCACTAGACATATAAACAGGTAGGCGCCGTATGAAATATGCAATATTTGTATGTCTAGTGTTTACAAAACAGAGAAGACACACATTCAATATATTCGGCATATTTCACGTCTACATAGGGCAATGACTTGCATTTACATCTTGTTACAGGTGCTGATTTATATGGAATAGCTGTTGATTCTATCGCCAGGAAGATATTTTACACAGACCAGGGAAATAGGGTCATTGCTGCCCTCAACATAAGGGAGCGACCATTTGATTTCTATGGGGGGCTCCTGAGAAGATCAAAGCAAGAAACATGAAAAAGAACACCGAGGAACTCATCATGTCCTTCAATGCAAGTATGTGATCGTAAAACAGTGTAAGCGTGAGGTACAAACGAAATCTTATTGTTTATACTGATATACCTCCCTATAAAACTTAAACACTTTCCATATTCATAAGATATCCCTGCCTGAGTCGATTGTCCGTTTCCGACCTCATCATGAGCATGTGTTTATGAATCACCATTAAACAAAGGAAGGTCAATTGCTTACATATAATAAAAAAGACGGAAACAAATGGTAAAGTCAAAATAGGGAATTGCATCGGACATCATTCTTGTCACTGATGCGTCACATTTCCGAAATGTCCTCTTTTAACCATAAAACATTTTGAAAGCTTTACTGAGGCCTTGAACGTTGTAAACTTGACCAAACAACTTCTTACTGATGACGTTATATTTTATCATTCACTGCATCAACGCATATACATGTATATGGTCTTTTGCAGGACATCCACTATGTCTAATCGATTAAATTATATTTGTGTGTAAAATCTGAGGTAGAATTATATCTAGTATTCACGATCGCCTCAAGATATTAAATAGCCGGTCTCTCATGCCCCGGGACCCAATGAAAAAGTCATGAATACCAAGTTAAGGTAATTACGACCACACGGTCATCTATTATATCAGATTGTGCTTTGACCACCAACACAAGCCACTAGACATATAAACAGGTAGGCGCCGTATGAAATATGCAATATTTGTATGTCTAGTGTTTACAAAACAGAGAAGACACACATTCAATATATTCGGCATATTTCACGTCTACATAGGGCAATGACTTGCATTTACATCTTGTTACAGGTGCTGATTTATATGGAATAGCTGTTGATTCTATCGCCAGGAAGATATTTTACACAGACCAGGGAAATAGGGTCATTGCTGCCCTCAACATAAGGGAGCGACCATTTGATTTCTATGGGGGGGGGGGGGGGGGGGGGGGGGTTGTTTTCTCAGCAAACTTTTTTTCTGAAGCCATTTCTAACAAACTATTTTTTTGTAACATACAGCTGAACAAACTATTCATTTCAGATGGTAATTTTGCAATTTTATTACAGAGTAAAATATGCAATCATATTTCAGCAAATGCAGCCTGTGGTGTATTATAACATGAACAGCTATAGAACACCCGTTATAATAGTCTTTTTCATTCCCTGACATAAATACAGTAGTCCTGTTTGTAGCCTGGTGGAGGACGCGGTAATAGCTGTTTCTTTAGTCCCGGCCCGTATCGGTGGTATACTTCCAAGCCATCGTAACTGTACCAACCTTTGCCTGGCACACACACACATCCCAAGAAATGACCCCCATTGCCATACACTAAAGCAAATAGTGTATATACTCGTTCATTCATCTGAATAACATTGGGGTATCTGGTGAGAGGACAATTGTCTATCTCTATGTACACTACTGGTGGGGAATCAATGGTGAACAGTCTTGAAGAGAATGTTCGGACACCAGAACAATTCTCATTGGAGTCTTTACCCTGAAACAGGCATGGTCGAGGATCATGTTCATTGGCAATCCATGAATATAACTTCTCCTGAAGAGTAGTGTGTTGACCTTCCTCCCACGACAAAGAGATGTCAGTACTTGTTCTGTGAATGACTGGATTCTTCTCACAGTCATCTTTTGCACTACATTCTGATGAAAATTCAGTGGTGACGAGAGGTTTCATCTTAGAAAATACTCTCTCCTGTTGTCCACCATAGCAGTTCCAATGTCGTGAGTCTTCGGAAAATTCATCAAACTGTTGTAGCCAGCATATTTTTCCATCAGCGTAGTGTTTCTCTTTAAACAGTGTGTGAACTTCCAGCAATTTAAGCGCAAATGGTTCTATAATTCTCTGAAAATTTCTCAAGATGTCTCTTCTGAATGTGAACAAAATGTGGAAAAAATATAAAAGTTGTCAATAAGACAGGTGTTCGTCAGTCGGATGTCATCTTCTATAATATGACCAGGTCATATCCAAAGATCATATAATATCGTTTTATTTAAAGGATTTTGGTGAAAATTGTTCATACCGATACCTTTTCATTTAATACATATGGTTTATTTGTATTTCAAACCATTCCTCAAACAAACCACAATATAAATATGTTCAACATTTATCAGTGAATAAATGTGTTCTTTTACAACATTGTAGCTTGGTTATTTCTTTTTGGAAATTGTTAAATTGGACGCCTGAATATTTGTACATGCATTTAAATAGCAAAATGTGCTGAACTGAAGCCATTAACTTCATATACAGAAATAGCAACAAATAAGATTAAAGTAATAGTGATGTTGCGCCGAATGCGGCGGAAAATTTTTACGTTTATAATGCTGGAATAATTCTTTAATTTAATAGATAAATGTTGCAATGACATGCAAAATTATATCTGGAAACAAACTATTCATTTTTCTCACAGTAGTAAACATTCTATTTATTTTACTGATTATCTCCAACAAACTATTCATTTGTAAATACTTCCGCCGCCCCCCCCCCCCCCATAGGTATCAAATGGTCGCTCCCTAAATGGGACCAATTGTGTGACTGTCATAAACAATGGGCTTGACAAACCCAGAGCCATTGTTCTACACGAGGAAAACAGGTGTGCATTATTGACGTTAACCATTTGAATGTTTGTATTCTTACAATGCATAGAGTGTGCAAGAACAAAGATCATTTCCACACATAACTCAATTAACCACAATTATTTGGACCAACAGGGGAGTATCCCATTACGAAATAGCACCAGGATCAGTTATGAAAATCTTTGAAAACACAATTTTTACAAGGTTATAAAACTTCTTTTCAGGAAGATGTACTGGACTGACGGGGGGCTTTACCCCTATATAGCATCAGCTGATTATGACGGTACAAACATTAAAAAGATCGTCATTACAGGCCTTGGATGGCCGAACGCTGACAATTGATAAAAAGGGTGAGATCATGTGACCAATCATGGGTTATGTCAATATAGAGCGTCATCACCAGAGAATAACCAGTCTCGATTAACCGCCGAAACAGATTCTGTTGGGCGTAAAAGGCAAAATTGCGCTGATAAGTATATGAGTGGATGACTGAAAATCAGTGATGACACCAGGTGTTCGCGAAAAGACAGACCGTGGCTATAATAAGGGGACTAAATAAGATAGATATTTGAAATAATGTTAATGTAACTACTTCTATAGCAGCTATATAATTGTCCGGACATGTGGTCAAACACCTTATTCTGGAAGTTTCCTACCATATACTGAACCGTTATTCATTTTTTCGCTCACTAATTTGAATTCAGGGGAACATCTATATTATTCAAAAGCTTTGAATTTAAAAAAAATGTGGAGTCGTCTCGTGATTTTGGTGCGCAGTGGGAGTGGTTGCAAGGTTAGAGCGTTTACTTGTCACGCCGAAAACCCGGTTTCGACAATGTGTGAAGCTTATTCTATGTGTCCACTACAGTTATATTGAAGGAGTATTACAAGAACCGATGTAAATCTAAACTAGAGAATACCCACAGCAATTTTGCATACCATTTATCAACATAAATTAAAGTTGTTTTGATTTACATTATTAAGTTACACACAATTTATGTTATTCTGTACACCTGAAGATGGAATCCTCTTTTGGTGTGACGGCAGGACAGACAGAGTAGAATCAATGGTTCACAGAGAAAACCTCTGCTGCATGATCCTGGAAAAACCTACCTAAATATTTTCTTTCGAGAAAGAGTGCTCTACTTCACCTACTTGAATGGAAGGTAACTTTACATTTACTTCAACGTCCCGGGTCCGCTTAATGCTGTTGTTTTTTGCCTTGGTCAGCAATACCACTGCGCCCTGTAACTATATCCAATCGAGTCTTGGTCAGTGTCAAACCATGGCTTATTGGGTCATGATGATACATAATCAGCTTAGTCACGGAATCTGACCACCGATCCTCTTTAGTCGCCTCTTAGAAGCATACAGTGTACGATACAGAGCTTGAGGAACCTATTCCTCCTTGCAAATCCTCACCATGTAATGTATGACAATTGGAGTATGATCTAGGGGATCAATGTTATTGTTCGTGTATTATTAAATGAAACCGGAGAAACGTCAATTAAGACTTCAATCATCAATAAATAATTAATTAATATGGTCATCTTTTCAGGGGTATTATCATCTTGCCGTCAACGGGAGGTAGCACAAGCGTATTGGCGTCGAAAGGTATCACGCATGCTATAGACATCTATGTCTTCTCAAACAGGAACTATTCCGGTAATATATGACAGCTTGCGCAAGCATATTTATCTTTTCTCTAGTTTCAAATGAGTTAAAGGAGAGCCATATTAGTCCTTGGAAAAGCTTGTGTGAACAGTTGGACATATACATCAGCTTATTGTCTTGTCTGACTGGTACTTGTACGGTACAAAAATAGGGTAGATCTACATAGAAACTCGACTAATCCGGACGGTACCATTCCAGAAAAATCGTTCACAGTCACAAAAAAATTCCGGATAAAGGAGTTATGGTTAGATGGTAATGTCACATAATGATATATTATATTAAAACATTATTCGCCCTGGACGCGATGTTTCACTAAAGTTCTGAACTTTCTACAAAGGTACGGTCTTTTTTCACTGTGTATGCGTTTATTTACCAAATTTCTGTTTACGAATAGCGGATGCTAAAACTCATAGTTTTACACTGTATAGCGAAGTAGTTGCGCTATCTTTAAAGTTAATCTGTTCCCTGGAAGGTTTTTCCTCACAGTTTGGAAGATATTGGATATTATAATTTACCTTTTATGGGTACATTTCTCGGCAGAATAAACGGATGAAAAAATTCTTAGGACACGTGGTAACCCTGGACATGTCACTGTGCTTCTTTAATTAATGAAAAAGTAGTTGTTTACCGCAACACTAAGCTGTATTCCAGCAATATGACGGCAACCTGTTAATAATCGTGTTTGACCAGAAAATGCAGTGACTGATAACAAGAACAACGACCCATGCCGTTGGGTCACGATTAAATCTAACCAACCACGTCACCGAGGCTGACCACTCGATCCACTAAGTCGCTTCTTACGATCAGCATATGTTGATTAGGTTGATAACTATTCTAAACCGGAATCACCATGCAATGGCTTAAAAAATGAAAATAATAACGACATAACTAGAACTACAAAAAATATACAGAACTCTAAACTGTCGATCTGTGTGTGTTAGTGTTAGTGTGTGTTAGTGTTAGTGTTAGTGTGTGTTAGTGTTAGTGTGTGTGTGTGTGTGTGTGTGTGTGTGTGTGTGTGTGTGTGTGTGTGTGTGTGTGTGTGTGTGTGTGTGTGTGTGTGTGTGTGTGTGTGTGTGTGTGTGTGTGTGTGTGTGCTAGTTTGTGTTTGTGTGTATGTGTGTGAACCTTTGTATTTTGGGATATATTCCAGTGCCTACTGAATAATTAGGAACAGGTACACGTATGTGCTTCTGACAGCTGGACTAACTAATTGGCCAAAGGGAAGTTGTCCTTATGGTGGCGATTCAAGGTCACTAGTACCTGATGCTTGTCAATCCGAAATTAGAATTGGAACAGTTGGAACCGATTGGCCAGGATCTTAGACTTGGCTGCGAAGGTGTCCTTGTACCAAGGTAGCATTGAAGGGTGACACCGCGATAAACCTGGAATATTGCGGACTGCGGTGTTGATATATCAACTATTAAAGTGGTTTTGATACGTTCTGTATGTTCTCTGTACAATATTAACTAATACTACGAGTGTTGTAGCGTGTCCTGCGGGTCGGTTTGGGGCAGACTGTAGACCATGCGGGAACTGTAGGGAAAGATCCGTCTGTGAGAAGACCACTGGACTGTGTATGAGTGGATGTAGCCCTGGTTACCTGGGAGCCTACTGCAGAGATGGTACGATACAACTAGTAACGTTTTTGCATCCACATTTCTAAAATAATTCCCTGGAAACTTTTCATACCGCCATTTACTTCCGGTGTGCTACCATTACCTAATGATATCACTTCCGGTTTGGTAATACACATGTTTAATGCAAAACAACTTAAAAACAGAAAGTATCATGTCGGTAACAACATTATCAACAAAGTTACATGCACCCCCGGGATATATACGTTTTGCAAAGTGCCACTTTAAAACAGAACGTCCTATGCCGCGAACACAACGTTAAAGAGAAAGTTATATGTTCTTCCGGTTTAAGGACAGGGCTTTTCGGAAAATACAATACAATCAATTCTCATGCCTATTGCTGCATTATTAAGAAGGTTCAATGCATATCCGATGAAAGTATATATAAGTGCGACTTTAAAACAGAAATACCCTATGCTTCTAACAACGTTAATGAGAAAGTTACATGCTCTTCGGGTTTCGTGACAGGCTTCCAGTTTCCGAAAATACAAATCAATCTTAAAACATGAAGTCTTATTCCTGTAGCTACAATGGGGCATAAGCCATGGTGTTTTTGTTATGAAAATAGAACACTTGGTAAATGTGAAAAATATAAATCGTTTTAATGCAAAACATAAGTTAATTAATTGTGATATTTTTATATTTTTGTCTATGACACTACTAGGTTAACACTTTTAATGTGGAAAAAGTACAAGAAAAATAGGTTCATTTCCGTGTGAACTTGCCCTTTAATGTATAATAATCAAATTTATTATTTATAACATTATTTCTTCACATTTTATCTTTTAGGACTGCTCGGGAAAAGGTGCACTGCACAAACTAAGTATATGCAACTTTCACATTATGATCAATCATCTGAAAGTATTTATGTATGTCAATTCAGCATGTCTCCCAAATACTCACAGCTCTTGTGAACCATGCGGTCAGTGTGCTGGTGGTGTTCCTTGTGACAAGATCTCAGGGCTCTGCTCAGTTGGATGCCAAGAAGGCTGGAGTGGGTCTCTGTGTAAAACACGTAGGTAAACAAAATATTTGAGTGATTTGTATTTTCGTTTAGTTAAAGTCTTCAAATAAATAAAAAATGTGTTCAATTTCAAATTCAAATAACTAAATTCTACCATGTCATAATGTAACATGCATTTATAAACAGTGGACTTGGGAATGACCATATGAAACATCAAATTTAAAAAGAACAAAGATTTGACATATCCTTGTTAAGTATAGAACGTGTTGATGATATCAAAAGTAAATGTAAGGGTTCTTCACGCTATGCTTTTGATAAATAATGTATCTATTTGTAGCGTGCACACCTGGAACACACGGCGCAGGATGTCTATCACTTTGCTCCCACTGCAAAACAGGAAGTGTGTGTCATCGGGTGACTGGTCGATGCCCGGAAGGTTGTCAACAGGGATGGAGGGGAGCTAAATGTGACGAGGGTACGTTCACTCAAAACAGTCATTGGTATTACTGAGGGAAGGTAAAATAGAAGACGACTATGGAACCCGTTAATCCACACGCTTCTTTTTTTGTTCCAGAAGAATAACTGACACTGTTTTTCAAATGGAAAAGAATCCTCATGATCGGAATGCTTCTGCATGTTTTCTTAGTGAAAACACATTTTTACTTTGCAAATAAAATTGTAAAATACAATATTCCATAATTTCTGAAGCATCACAAATTATCCTGTTAATCCGTACTCTGTACGTAACTTTCTCTGGGTGGTAAGCGATGATGTCTGAGAAGATTGAGCAGTTAAGTGATTAGAACTTGACCGTGGCCGCTTCTGCATTTTGCTTTTTAAACAATCTTGACTTTGACAACCCAAGAAAGAAATATTAGGCCTTTATAGCCCTTTAAGGGATGCTGGTAACTCGTGTCAATGTAATACTGATGGTCATGCCCTTGAAAGAATAGCTTTGAAAATTATATGAGCGTAAACACGTCAGAGAAATAGATATTTAGGCGATCAATGTTTCACACTTTCGTCAAAATCTTCAAAATGAATTTTTTTTTAGATCTTTGCCATTACAAATTGGATTCACTGAATTCCTACATTTTCATCATGTAAAATGCATTTATAAACACTTTTGAAACTTGGGAATACACATTTGAAACAAATCAAATTGTAGAAAGTAAAGTATAGAACTTATTGCAAATGTATGTTATTGACAAATGCCTTTTCAATTTCTAGCTTGTATTCCTGGCACACACGGAGCAGGATGTCTATCACTTTGCTCCCACTGCAAAACAGGAAGTGTGTGTCATCAGGTGACTGGTCAATGTCCGGAAGGTTGTCAACAGGGATGGAGGGGAGCTAAATGTGACGAGGGTACGTTCACTCATTGGTATTACTGAGGGAAGGTAAAATAGAAGACGACTATGGAACCCGTTAATCCACACTGTTTTTTTCAGAAGAATAAATGTAAAACGTAAAAGAATCCCATGATCGGAATGCTTCTGCATGTTTTCTTAGTGACAACACATTTGTACTTTGCAAATAAAATTGTAAAATACAAAATTCCATAATTTCTGAAGCATCACAAATTATCCTGTTAACCCGTACTCTGTACGTAAGTTTCTCTGGGTGGTAAGCGATGATGTCTGAGAAGATTGAGCAGTTAAGTGATTAGAACTTGACCGTGGCCGCTTCTGCATTTTGCTTTTTAAACAATCTTGACTTTGACAACCCAAGAAAGAAATATTAGGCCTTTATAGCCCTTTAAGGGATGCTGGTAACTCGTGTCAATGTAATACTGAAGGTCATGCCCTTGAAAGAATGGCTTTGAAAATTATATGAACGTAAATACGTCAGAGAAATAGATATTTAGGCGATCAATGTTTCACACTTTCGTCAAAATCTTCAAATTTTTTTAGATCTTTGCCATTACAAATTGGATTCACTGAATTCCTACATTTTCATAATGTAACATGCATTTATAAACACTTTTGAAACTTGGGAATACACATTTGAAACAAATCAAATTGTAGAAAGTAAAGTATAGAACTTATTGCAAATGTATGTTATTGACAAATGCCTTTTCAATTTCTAGCTTGTATTCCTGGCACACACGGAGCAGGATGTCTATCACTTTGCTCCAACTGCAAAACAGGAAGTGTGTGTCATCAGGTGACTGGTCAATGTCCGGAAGGTTGTCAACAGGGATGGAGGGGAGCTAAATGTGACGAGGGTACGTTCACTCATTGGTATTACTGAGGGAAGGTAAAATAGAAGACGACTATGGAACCCGTTAATCCACACTGTTTTGTTCCAGAAGAATAAATGTAAAACGTAAAAGAATCCTCATGATCGGAATGCTTCTGCATGTTTTCTTAGTGACAACACATTTGTACTTTGCAAATAAAATTGTAAAATACAAAATTCCATAATTTCTGAAGCATCACAAATTATCCTGTTAACCCGTACTCTGTACGTAAGTTTCTCTGGGTAGTAAGCGATGATGTCTGAGAAGATTGAGCAGTTAAGTGATTAGAACTTGACCGTGGCCGCTTCTGCATTTTGCTTTTTAAACAATCTTGACTTTGACAACCCAAGAAAGAAATATTAGGCCTTTATAGCCCTTTAAGGGATGCTGGTAACTCGTGTCAATGTAATACTGAAGGTCATGCCCTTGAAAGAATGGCTTTGAAAATTATATGAACGTAAATACGTCAGAGAAATAGATATTTAGGCGATCAATGTTTCACACTTTCGTCAAAATCTTCAAATTTTTTTAGATCTTTGCCATTACAAATTGGATTCACTGAATTCCTACATTTTCATAATGTAACATGCATTTATAAACACTTTTGAAACTTGGGAATACACATTTGAAACAAATCAAATTGTAGAAAGTAAAGTATAGAACTTATTGCAAATGTATGTTATTGACAAATGCCTTTTCAATTTCTAGCTTGTATTCCTGGCACACACGGAGCAGGATGTCTATCACTTTGCTCCCACTGCAAAACAGGAAGTGTGTGTCATCAGGTGACTGGTCAATGTCCGGAAGGTTGTCAACAGGGATGGAGGGGAGCTAAATGTGACGAGGGTACGTTCACTCATTGGTATTACTGAGGGAAGGTAAAATAGAAGACGACTATGGAACCCGTTAATCCACACTGTTTTGTTCCAGAAGAATAAATGTAAAACGTAAAAGAATCCCATGATCGGAATGCTTCTGCATGTTTTCTTAGTGACAACACATTTGTACTTTGCAAATAAAATTGTAAAATACAAAATTCCATAATTTCTGAAGCATCACAAATTATCCTGTTAACCCGTACTCTGTACGTAAGTTTCTCTGGGTAGTAAGCGATGATGTCTGAGAAGATTGAGCAGTTAAGTGATTAGAACTTGACCGTGGCCGCTTCTGCATTTTGCTTTTTAAACAATCTTGACTTTGACAACCCAAGAAAGAAATATTAGGCCTTTATAGCCCTTTAAGGGATGCTGGTAACTCGTGTCAATGTAATACTGAAGGTCATGCCCTTGAAAGAATGGCTTTGAAAATTATATGAACGTAAATACGTCAGAGAAATAGATATTTAGGCGATCAATGTTTCACACTTTCGTCAAAATCTTCAATTTTTTTTAGATCTTTGCCATTACAAATTGGATTCACTGAATTCCTACATTTTCATCATGTAAAATGCATTTATAAACACTTTTGAAACTTGGGAATACACATTTGAAACAAATCAAATTGTAGAAAGTAAAGTATAGAACTTATTGCAAATGTATGTTATTGACAAATGCCTTTTCAATTTCTAGCTTGTATTCCTGGCACACACGGAGCAGGATGTCTATCACTTTGCTCCCACTGCAAAACAGGAAGTGTGTGTCATCAGTTGACTGGTCAATGTCCGGAAGGTTGTCAACAGGGATGGAGATGCGCTAAATGTGACGAGGGTACGATGATTCAAAACAGTCATTGGTATTACTAAAGGAAGGTAAAATAGAAGGCGACTATGGAAGCCGTTATTCCACCCGCCTCCATATTGTTCCGGAAATATAACACTGTTCGTCGTAAGTAAAGGAATGCTCTTGATCAGAATACCTCGTGTGAATATATAATTGTATAATATATGTTGTGTCTTTAATCATCCTGTCAATTCGTATTTCTATTTTGAGAAGCAATCAAATATTTGTGAACAGGAAAGGATATTGAATAGCAGTTCAGTAGTTAACAGTTCCACCTATATGATTATTCTTTAGGGTTCACCTACAACTTGACCACTGACCATTTTGTTTTTTAAACCATCTGAACATAAACTAAAGGAAAACATATAAAATATATACCCTCCTTGAAGAGGCGACTGACGGGATCGGGTGGTCAGGCTCGCTGACTTGATTGATGCATGCCATGGATCCTAGTCGATGCTCATGAAATCAATGACTGGATTGTCTTGTCCAGACCGTCGTCATATAGCTGGAATATTACTGGGTGCGGTGTTAAACAACAAACCAAACAAACAAAACCAACTACAAAATATTCGGAAAATACATTTAAGAATCAAGCAGTTGCCGCCAAATACATCTTTATGAGGAAGTTGATAAAAGACGTATTCAGAATCAATTTCTTATACTTTTGATAGGTAATAAATGATATGTTATCTCTCAGGTTAATAGCTTCACGGATAATTACGTTTTTGTGTGATCTTGCCCTTACAGTAATAGAGAATGCAGATTTTAATACGTTCTTTCATGGATAGGAATTTAGGATGTATCAATTTCCTTCTTGCTCTTGGCATTCCAGATGAAGGTGAAACCGGGGCTGAGACAAACAACACATCTCTTCTAAGTAAGAGATGTATAAACACTTATGTTTACATCGTCCGAGTTCATCCAACCTTTAAATGTAACCAGTCTTCAAATAAAAACATGTTTTCTCGGGGGAAATGCAACGAATGTATTACTAAGTAAATGACATTGTGTGGTTATAAGCAGATAAGATTAAGTGACAGAGACATAATTGAACGTCACAATTTATTGGCCATTTCATTCAAAAAAGTATCACCAATGAGCATATTTGTATCTCATTACAAGTAAAGATGTGAAGGTATTCATATCAATCCCACGAGCTTCCAGCGAACCATGCATTAACCAAAACACGACCATTATTTCAGTTGGAGTTATTGGAGCGTCAGCTGGGGTTGTTGTCCTACTTGTCATCATCGCCATAATTGTTGCCGCAGTCGTACTTTCCAGGTAATGTCATGTGACCTTCTCATCTTATGTACATTAACAGCACTTGTTCAAAGTTCAACATGAAATACCTTTGAATGTGATTAACACGTGTTTTGTCAAAAATGAAAGCAAATGTCATCTCAGTCCAGTAGAAATTGCATTGGACTTGGACATTTCTGATAACTGGTCAATTTTTTGTTTAAACTCACCAGAAGGGTGTTACTTACTGGTCACCATAGAATAAACCCAAAGAAAATAAAGATTGGACAAATATATTTCTTTTGCACAATTTTGGGGGTGGGGTCTGTTGTCTTTTTTTACACAAACGACAGCAGGCTGTTGTCATGGCGAGAAAGTACATGTTAAAATATGCTTTTGTCTTCATTCTTATCAGTATTTTCATGTCTCAAAAAGCCTTATTTGATTAAATACAAATTATTTTTGAACATTTAGTTGTTGTCGGCCATCTTGAATTCAAGATGGCCGCCATCTTGAATAGTCAGCTGGACTGTCGTTCCCACTTTTCCTGTATACCTACAACCTTTTCTATTTCATAAAGGAGGTAACTGTACACACCTTTCATTGGGGGGTGAGCTTGCAAGTGTGTGCATTGATTTTCAGGGGGTCAAAATTGCATAAACTGAAGGGACAATGTATAACTTGGCAAAATTGGCTGTAACATATTTGTTGTTAAGTCATCAAACTATCCAAACTATGTTTTCGATAACAGGCAATATGTTAGGTTATTTGAATTTGGCAAACATTTTGTTTCATTTTAAAAGTTATTCTAGTTCACAGTCAAAACATTGATAAAAATGATGTTTTTTTTAACTTCATTTTCAAAACTTGTGAGAAGGTAAAACACTAATACCATTGAATTATGACAATAAAACCACTATAACTGTATATCACAGAGTGCCTGTTCTATTCCATACAGAAAACGAAATACCCCCACACCCAAAAGAACAATTTTGACGAAAACTGCTTATTGAGAAATGGTAGTCGATTATGTTAATGTTTTTGAAGGTGATGATAATTGTAGCAATGCTTAAAAACATCAAAATAGTAGGTCATAAGGGCACCCAATCGCCGACACACGAAGTCAGCGATCTAACCCACAAAAATGAAAGTCTGTAAACTGGGAGTCTAGATCACGTACTTTGTGTACCCCTCTGACAAGTGTTAAACGGCACGGCTCCAATGGCAGAAAGCTATGAACACACAATGTCATTTAGAAAGTGGTCAAATGTAACAAATGTTATATTTGGGATAAACCTTTCTTATTAAAGTACAGATTCTCGATTCCGGGATTCGAACCGACACTGCCAGACTGAGGCAACTAATCGCCAGCACACAAAGTCAGCGATCAAGCCCACACAGCCACCGAGGCTTTCACAAAAATGAAAATCCGACAACTGGTAGTCCAGATCACGTATTTTGTGTACCCCTCTGACAAGTGTAAATTGGCACAGCTCCCATGGCCGAAAGCATTTTTGTGAAAGCCTCGGTGGCTGTGTGGGTAGGATCGCTGATTTACTTCATGACAAATCTGTTATTTTATGGACAGCGTCAACAAAAAGTTCACAAATTGTATATGAATTAATAACAATAACACTAAGAAGGGATATCATGTACACCGTGTCTCGTGTTGATTGCGTACCATCGCACCTCGACCGTGTGGATCGTTGCTGACAATATCAATCTCTGATTTACCTGGTAATGGCCTGATTATGTACGAGCAGCCGTCATACACGTGCAACATTGTTTAGTGCGGCGTTGAACAACAAACAAGCTATAATATTCAAATTTAAGGTGTAACGATAAAAGGTAAAATTACACTCTTATCAACTAATGTAAGGGGATATAGCGGAGTACAAACTATGTGCTGGATATTACATTGATAGAGCTTTGGTATAGTTCGTATTTAGCTGATTACATTGTGGTTTGATGTAGGGTTTAATAAACCAGCATGTATGTACGTTACCCATTCATTAACATTTTCTGATAGTATTTGATGCTGATCGTCGTTTGAATCTTATATATCTTTGTGTTTATGATTTGTGGTATACCAACCAATAAGCGCTTGGGAATGTTCATTGAGGAATCGATCGGAATCGGATCTGATATAACACAGAGGTGTGTGTGTAGGGGTATCTTTTAGAACCAGATAATCACCAAATATATATTTATAGCATTTATAGCATCCGTTTTAAATATATTACCACTTCCCTAATTTTGATATTTATAATCCATCTACACAAATCCACCTGATAATATGCTAACTGAGCAAAGATAAACATAATTGTTTAAGCACTAGTTTTGGAAGTGTATTGTCTCTATATATGTCAGTGCAAGCTGGTGTCCATTAGATTTATACATACACAATCGAGCATGCTCTTTCTTCCAAAATTTCAAAGAGCGTCATACGACTCTTGCTCAGAGGTTATTTCATCAAGGGTACACCATTCAAAGCCATTGTAAGGCTTTAAGGAGTGTCATATGGAGGACATTTCCAAATTTGACGCATTCCCCTTTTTATTTTTTGACTTGTACCATAAATATATTTCCGTGTTTGTTCTGTTGAACATTTCACTTGTCTTTGCATTTTTATCTTTTTATGTTATCGCGAATATCTAGAATCATTACCAATCGATAGTGATTCATAAAGACAGAATCGATTATGATGTAGTCGGAATAGTACGACGGAGTCTGCCTTTAACAGATATGTATTATGTTTATGGAAATGTTTTATTTTGGTTTTATCTTTAACAGACGAAAGCGACGTACTCGACAGCAGAGCATCGATCAATACGACACAGTCGATATGGCCAGGCGACCCAAGATCTTCCGCGCGGCCACAGACCATTGCCCCGCCTACTTAATATAAGCACTATGGGACAAACCCCTGCTCCACCCTCCCGTGCTTATCCTTCCCAAGCTGATGAGTGCATTCAAATGTGGTACATGAGTAACCCCACTGAACAGTCAACTGAGGAGCACGATGACCATTTGTATGAATTGCCAGTTTTTTAGTTCCTCGCAACACAGAGACAACGCATTAAAGTTACTCAATCTGTAGATGTAAAGGTATTGTTTTATACATGTGATTGTGTAAGTATTTGTCTTTATGAAAGCTTGTACTGAGTGAACGGAGTGAATGGTATGTTAAACTACGGGCTATATCACGTAGACCTGTAAATAGATGAATGTCACTGAGTCAACGGCTGGATGATAGCGTGTGTCACGACCCGAGGCGACGGGTACGATGCTACACAATCAGTCAGGTCACACCTTGCATGGCAGACATGAGGAACTGGGAACAGGTTTCCTCCAGAACTCACCATCGGGTGACACATACTGATTTTAAGGTCCTCATTTTTTATTACACTTATCACATTTCTTGTACATTTCCTGATCTTATAACAGACTTAAGGGAACCTCTGCACGGACTGATGAGTTTTTACAACTACGTTGTAGATCATTAGCATTGTGAATGTTACTGACATTATTAGAAACAATGGGGAAATTCAGTAATGGGGACATATTCCGAGGTATTAGAATCGTTTCCTCTTGGCACACGATCTTCACATGACTACTGACTTGAGTCAAAGGAGGTTCATACAGAAATCCTTATCCTTATAATCGGATAATCGCGAAATAGTAGTTGGAACGTTATGTTAAAACTAGTCATGGAAATATATTGCCCTATGTCAATTTCGTTCTTATATGTGTATATATAATATTGTTTCTATCATTAACGTGTACATTATTACAGTGCCTTATTTCACCTTTCAAAACAACACGCCTTTGTGTGATTTCTTCAAATCCTCAGTAAAGCTTTCAAAATGTTTTGTGGTAGTTATATGGAGTACATTTCCAAATTTGACGCATCAGTGTCAAATATGATGTCCAGTGCAATTTCTGATTTTGATTTGTACCATATGTTCGTTCGCTTTTCTCAGGTTGACTTCCCTTTGAACGTATTTGTAAATGGTGCAACCGGTGGGGCAGAATACGCCCACCTTTTCGCGAACACCTAGTATCATCACTATTTGATAGTAATTAATACTCACGTGCTCATGATGCAGTCGGAATCGTACAATCGACTCTTGGCAGAGATTTCTTTTGAATATGGAAAGGGTTTTGTCGCTTTGATTTATTGCAAATTCGATTGTGGTCAATGTTCATTGAGAAATACATGCTGATAATTCAGATTTGTAATATACCATATTTGGATCTGAGTGTAAATATTATGATAAAAAACTATGAAAATAAGGCAGTTGTTATTTGAGTAGGCTTTGCTATCAATGAGTACAATGACTCCTATGTATTTGGAAAATGGACATGTTTATGTTTCATTCTGTATTTTCGTTTTTCATAGAATGACTACAGAGAAATAAATTAATAAATGGTTTAACATTCCATCTATCATAACCATTTTTTTAAAATAACTGGCAAGTTGTCTTGCCAACTCAATTTGTGTTCCTACACGTGGACAACAGGGTTTGAAAAGATCTTCAGCAATCATTTTGAAGAATGTGTTGTTTTTTTCCAGAAAGCGCTCCTTCAAACGTATATAGGGAAGCCTAGTGGTTAAAGCGTTCGCTCGTCACGCAGTAGACCCGGGTTAGATTCCCGACATGGGTACAATGTGTGAAGCCTAATTCTGGTGTCCCCCGCCGTTATATTGCTGGAATATTGCTAAAAGCGGCGTACAACCATAATCACTCACTCACTCAGGCGTATATAAAGGCAAATACTATTCCGTAACCTGATCATTTTCTTGTGACTCTACTTCGAGCACTGAATTGACATTAAAACGTTGATATTGTGAGCAGATTGTATTACACGTAAGGGATTAAATGTTCTGTTTGACGCCGCTTTACACAGTATTTTAGTTATGTTGGGGGTATCAGGTTGATGTTGTAGGAAACCTAAAGTGATGCAGGTCCTAGAAGTTTACCACTTTGGTGAATAACCAAGTAACATATTAGTCATTGTTTCTTGTTTAAAATAACTAC